ACCTGATCTAGTTAGCGGTGTCCCTGCTCGCTGGGGGGGGGTTGGACTAGATGACCTCTAGGGGTCCTTTCCGACCCAAAACTTTCTATGATTCTATGATTATTCTAGAATCACACAGGAATAAAGGGATAATACCTGTCATCTGAGCAGTGAAAATGTCACATGGCCTTTTTCAGGTGACTTACGATTAATAAAAGACTCCGTTGAAATGCCTGTAGCAAATTAATGTCCAGAAAGTTATCTACTCTTGAAATCCGGAATAATTTAAATGTAAGACTTCCAGAGTCACAGGTACTTGAGTACTAAAATTAAAGAACGGGAGCATGAAAGACAAGCAAGCGCACATAACATTGTCAAACCGTTCTCGAGAGACCAAAGTGAGAGTGCTTTTGCTGCCAGGAAAGTCAGAAAGATACAGGGTCTGAATTAATTCTGTGATAACAGGGTCAGCTGAGTAGGACACAGGTTCAAGTAAGGACACAACATAATACAGGAATGACTTGACAAAAACAAGCAATTTACTCAAATGCATCTTCCTTCAGCCCACCCAACCGTGAATTGATACAGTTACGGCTGGCAAACAGTTTGAAAAAACACTGCAGCCTCTGAACCGCGTCCTCACTGGACCACCATGTCTTGCAGAGAAAGCCTGAGTTCTGTGCATGTTTTGAAGCCAAGGGAATGAGTCCATTGTAAGCCTGGCTCTTTTCCAGCACCCTGCTTTATTACTGGCTTTGTGTTGCATTTGGCTGTGTTGTTTTTTTTTTATTAAAGCTCCGCAATCGGGCTGAAACAAGATTTATTCTTTGACAGAAAGGAATCTGAATGTGAAATGCCTCGGGAACACATTCCTGGTTCTTGCTTTGTTTCAGGCAGGCTGCTCGTAGAAAAATAAATAAAAGATGTAAGAAATGCTGTGGCAAATCTTTTTTCTCTGTTACCCTATGGGTTCTGTAGCAGCCTCCAACTAACTTTTCAACAACAGGCAACACAGGTCTTTCAGCACTGCCTGGTGTGACCCAAAATGACGCTGCTGCAGACGGCCGGCAGACAGCACGCCAGCAAGGATCTCTGAGTCAGCACTGCACTAGCCAGGCTTGGAAACACGTATCTGACAGCAAGGACAAAGTCCTAACTTGACTGAGACCTGAAGCAGAAAGGGCAAAAACTTACTTTTCTGCATCTATCCTTAAATTATAGGAGTTCCAGGGAAGGGAAAACTATGCAACGAAAAAATAAAAGGAAAATCTGCAGCCTTTGAGAGGTGTGAAACCCCAAGCTGGTCCCTGCTGCTGTCTTCTGGCTACTGGCGGCTTCTGTGAAATACGGTCGTGCTCTCACTTGGGTGTTAAGACAGGCACCTTCACAGCAAAAGCGCTAAGTTCAGAGGAGAGGCCAACAAGGAACGACTATGAAGGCCCAAATATTGACAATTAGTTGAGGCAATCCATCCTGGGTTGAAGTTCAGGCAGGGCCAGAGGAGGGGTTGTTCAGCTGCTGACTGGATCTGGGTATGCTGTGTTTGCTTGGAACGTGGCTGCGCAGCACCTTCATTTTAGATAGCGCTGTTCAAACACACATTTCACACACCTATTTGTGTAATTCAATTGCACTATTGCTAATAACCCACTAAAACCCCATTTGCTCCATTTGTATCTCGCTGTTTATCGTTAGAACAGATGTCACACACCCCAGTAACTCCAGACACCTGAGACCTGTTACGCAGTCACTCCTCCGTGCCTCTAACCTCCCAGGCAGAGGCACAAAGCCCAGATCTGCCTCTCAGCATCCTGCCAGTCACCGATTGCAGAGGACCTGCTCATTTAGCTAATCCAGGAGGAACGTGCGTTTCCAAACTGTGTGATACGACATACCTGTAGGTAAATACATCGATCAGCTCTGGAACTTGTGCTTTATTTCTCTATCCCTTCTCTGCATACAACTGCAAAATTTTCTACTGCATCTTCGAAATAGCCTAACAGATGGCTCCAGCTTCTACCTCCTCCTGTGCTCCCCAGCAGCACCTCCCAGGAACGGGTCACTTTGAACAGATTCTTACCATTTCCCTCAAAAGGAAAATGTGGTCGGGTGGTTGGGTGTTTGGGCATCAACCACCAAGTGCTCTGGGCAGTCCATACATATGGGAAGTCCTGAAATCCTGGGGCCAGTGAATTCACTGGGAATTCCGCTATAGATTTTAAGAGCATTGGGATTTTATCCCTGGAACTCACTATCACAAACCTGCGTAGTTCCTCATACAATCTACGTACTTTTTCATGTTATAATTGCAAACTGAATTTTTGTAAAGCAGCATGGAAAAAAAATACAACATTATTCTCTAAACAGATATTGAAAGCACCTAAAACAAACATGGCTGGCAGTCCAGCCCAAAAGAAAAGAAAAAAAAAGCATTTAAACTATTTGTGGTGGAAACAAACAAGCATACAAAGCATCCCATGGGCTGAAAATCTACACAATTCAATCTCTGTGAATTTCTAAGTCAAAATCCCTTACTGCAACAAAGATTTGAGGGAAAGCCTAGCTCATTCTTATCTACTGAATACAAAACAACCTCCCCGCGCCCCTTGTGACTACCGCAGAGATTTTACTACACAGTTAATAGGAGAAGCAAAATCATTCATTTGAAGAGTGATGCTTATTCTTCAGAGACACATTTAGAATTTTTGAATGCCCAGAAGAGCTGGTTATGAATTTAATTTCTTTGTAGCAAGAAATGTGATTCAAACCGATGCTGACAGCCAGGATTTATCTGATTCTGGAAAAAAGTAAACTGCTTCTTCTGCTTTCAACACAGCGCTGCAAGGGTCTGACAGCTTAAACACAGGAGGAGGCCAGACCGCCCGGTGTCTGCACAGACTAGCCCCAAAAGCAGTTCCTCTATTCCCCTGTGGACACACCGTCCCAGCCAGCATCCACAGAAATCTGCATTTGAAGCTGGCTGGCAATTTTTGGCTGCTATGGCAATTCAGAGGGCTCAGGTAAAGGGCTGGTGGTCTGCAGTCAGGCTCCATTTACTGCCTGAGGTGCCTTCTGCACGCTGTCAGCGTGAGGCAATGCCATGGAGGGCTGCTGGAAAATCTTCTGTTTAATGCTCTTGAACACCACCTGCAGCTCTGGCCATCTCCTCCCAAAAAGAAGACAGCAGGATTGGACTGATACAGACACAAAGCACTCCTGATGACGATGAGTCGGTTCCTCACAGGGCGACAGGACAAAGGCTGCGGGAAGGAGCTGCTGGGGGGGGACCAGCGTGGGTTCCTCTACAGCCACCAGCCATGGGAACACGGAGGGGCAAACGGTTTTTCACCATAGGTGACTTACGAAGCACCAAATGAAGGCAAGCAGCAAGTGTGAAATAAACATAAAGAAGTAGTTCTTTGAACAGTATACAATTGCACGACAGAAGTAACTGTGCAGGCTAGGAGCATTCCTCGGTACAAAAACGGATGACAGGAGTCAGGAAGCAAACACCCACCAGGGGCTGTGATGTAGGCGGGAACTTGAGCTCAGAAACTCCTTCAGCCAACTTGCGGAGGAGTGGAAGGGTGTCACAAGGAAAAGAGCCACTCCGTGCATTCGCCGTCTCCTGTATTATCCCTAAGTAACCACTACTACCTAAGTGCTACACACAGCCGAGCACAACATACTTGCAATTCAAACCTCAGCTGGTCATTATGAATTGCAGAAAGAAACAAAACCAACCACCACAAAGCAGCTAGAAAATAGAGCACCACTAAAATCAATGTTTGTCAGCCAACAAAAGAAGAAAAACCCACAGGAAAGCCCTTCAGACTGTTAATTTACGTGTCGATCGTGCAGCAGAGTTTTCCGATAACGCAAGCAGCTTATGAGCTCACTTGATGGCAGAAAACAAGAACAAGCTGACCTTCACACTGGTGGCGTTCTGAGAGGATTAGGAATGAATTCACACCTTCGCAGCCCAAAAAGCAATTCAGAGCAGCAGGTATGTATCAATAACACAACATTCAGCTCAGCTTCAGGGAAGAAAACAGTGCAGGCACAAGAGCTATGTGCAGAAAAATAGTGGCATTTCAACATCATATTTTGCTCTACAGCCCCCAGCATATGTATTTGAGGATGTAGAGCAAGCATATAAAATATTCTTTATTGTTCCTTTACACATACCACCAAAAATTACCATGCAAATTAAAGGCACAACAGTTGTTAATCATCAGAGTATCAGAAAGCAAACCAAAACCACCCTCCCTCCACTCCCCCATCATCTTTATGGAAGTGGTCCCAGCACATGCAGGAGAACTGCCACTGTCCCTCATTCTGTAAGAAAAGACAACGCCAAACCAGAAGCTTCCACCAGGCTTCAGAGGAAAAGATGAAGAACACCTAAATGATTGAAAAATTTGTTTTTTTGATGTGTGGAATAGGCAACCCACATCCTTTTAACAAGATCTATGGACAACGATGCCACCTCGGGCGATTCAAGGGCACATCACAGAATAAAGACTTACGAAAATGAACACAAACCTTGTGATTATTCCTGGGAGCATGACAGCACTGCTACAGGTAAACCCCTGGAGGACCATTTACAGAAGACATATAGATTGGTTGCTGCCAGGTTACATCCATGAATTCCAAGCGGGAGAATCCAGAATCCACTTGTGGTTCAAGTGTGACAAGGCATTCTCACTGCCTGGGAGAGAAGCATTAGTGAGTCCGCGGGCAAAGGAGTCAAAGCACTTTACACACCATGGATGGGCCTGGAGGTGTACGTTTGCAGGAGGATGAGGCATAGCTGAATTGGGGGGACAGCAATGATGATGATGATGATGGTGGAGAGGAAGATGGCAGTAATCATGCTAAATATATAATGTAACTCAGAGAGTCACAGCATATGCAATTCATTCTTTTTTTCCTGCCCAAGCTTTTGTAAGGATGAAGAGCTCAAGATCATATGGCTTCATCATGCCTGTTTAATATTTTACAGCTGCTTTACACGGTGGAAGTAATATACTCTGCAATGAGGGGGTGTGTTTTGTCAGGGATGAGAACTTCTTGATGTTTTCTTTCAGGATTTTGAGAGGGTGGGTTGCAATACTGCACTATTTGCTGACAGTTATCTTGATTCTGGACATGTTTTAGAAGAGATGTGTGAAGTAAATTACTATTTTGAATCTTGCTATTTTGTTAATAGCTGCTATACTGTTATTTAAATAACTCCCACTAGTTCCATTTTCACAAAAGCTCTTCCAATGCTTTATGCAAATCTACTGTAGTACAATTTGCACGGGTCTTGAAATCTCCGGCTCTGTCATATTCAGCACAGCAAAATTCTGCATAATGTTTTTAAATTGATGATAATTTCTATTTCATTCTTATTTGTCTCATTAATGCTGTAGCATTATAGCTAATGCAACCTTATTTATGAGGACGGATTCAAATTGCCCAAACTATTTTAAGGTTGTATCACTACGGAAAGTCTTTGCTTCACCTGATTAGAAGGAGCTATTTCTGAAATCTCCTTATTATAGGCTATGCAGCCAGCACCCAGATCCTATTCCCCTGAAAAATACTGTGAGATTTTCACACATCCTCTATGATGCAGGACCACATCCTATATCACCACCTTCTCTCTCCCAAACCCTGAATTCAGAGTTTTCAAAGGCAGGTGTAGCTGGTGGTCTGGGAGCTGCATGGCATACCCTGAGACATACGGAATACCGCACCTACAGTGAAGCCATATAAACTCGTAGCATTTTTTCCATATAATTAACTTTGTCATAATATCAACTCTTTTCTGTGCTAACTGCAAGTAATTTATACATCAACAAAGCTGTTTTATCCATAGCTTTTAATTTAGGCAATTGCATTTACATTTCTAATTCCAACCCTAGGCTTGACTGTTTTCCGAGTTGTTTACAAGTCAGCTGCAATATCCCTGGGCACTGCACGTTCCTGAGATTGCTACACAATATGCAATCATAACACGCATACATTTATGGAGTCAATTTTGGAAGCAGAAAGGCCTTTTAACTTCTCAAAGAGACAGCAGAGGAGGTTGGAGGGTACAATGCTCTTACAGTACCCCAGATTTGCACATTCCAGTTCTAGCATTTCAACAAATAAGCATCAGCACAGCAGGCAACTGTGTTTGAAAACAGGTTTGAAAAACATGCTGTACCTACACTAGTCCTAAGATATAGAAATGCAAATCTGCACACTCTTCTGCCTTGCCCAGAAGCTCATACAACTTGAAATGTACACAGTGAAACAACTTCAAGACTTCTTTCAAAATATAGGACCAATTCATACATCTTTATTATCATTATTCCACGAGACATACATGGGATAAGGCATTCTGATCTCATCACTGAAAATCCAGTGAGTTGCAAAGGTATTTTGTAAAAGGCAAAAAGAGAACAAATAAACAGTGAGTCAGATTCAGCCAGGGGCATCTCACGGCCCAGCAGCTGGAATGTCTTCAGGCAGCGGGAGACTTCCCGGCCTGGCCTTCCTCCTGCAGCTGGGCAACCGGCCCTGTCACGCCATGACACGCCACTGTCACATCACACGGGGCCGCTGGGAAGCCGTGAACGCCAGTCCAGAACCGCAGCAAGCAAGAGAGGCCCCATCTTCAGCCTGAGCATCTTCAGCCTGCTGCAGAGAGTGCAATGACCACGTGCTGCCCCCTCCACCAGACCACAGGGTTGGGGCGAGGGATCAATCCAGGGCAGCAGAAGACACAAAACTCACAGGCAATCACCCAAACTCTACTTGTGCTCCTTCCCAAATGGACTCTCCCCTCATCTTCCTAGAGCCACAGGACTCATCCTCACACGGAGGTTCGAAGCGCCCTTTGGGTAAAGGGATATGCTTCCCACCAGCCATGAGGGTTACAGGCCTGCACCATGAAAGCTGTTATTGCTGTTTCACCTCTCTAAGAACCAGGCAAAGTGCGTTACACAGACTGAGAAAATACCTAATACCTAGAAGTCTTTGGAAGTATCCTCCTTGTCTTCATTGAATAGAGGTCAATGACAAGACTGGACAAAGGCTAGCAACTTAAACTGTACGCCAGACAGTACCGATCCTTGCCAATTAAGTTACCCAATTTGTACAAATACGGTGTCTGCAGACTCTTCAGCCTTGAAACAAAGATTACATAGATTTGCAGCATGTGCATATTCTTCTCTAAGTCCTCACAGGACAAAAAGCAACTGTTATAAAATGAAGCAATTAGCACCAACTCACAAAGACCAGACTCTCGTTACAGAGGAGAGAGAGACAGAAGCTGTTCCTTGAGAAGACTAAAACATCTAGCATTTCTCCTTGCTAGGAACATAAATTGGTTCTCAAGGTGCTCTGCAGGATGTAATAATATCGGATAAATCTCTGCGGAAGGACCTAACTTGTCAAAAGCAACTTAGAACCTAGGCAAAATGAGAAATGTTTAATCATCACAGCCAAAGGAAAATTGAGTTTTTGGCTTTTCACTCATGCATAACTCAAGTATTTTGAATAGTAAGTATAATTTTAGCATTTTAATGAAATGTGCAGAAAATTTCTAGATTGTGTAAAATGAGCTTTATAGCGGTTGGCTTTTTTGACTCTTATTTGATATCTACACCACACCTTCCGCTGAAAACATGTTCATCGAAGGTACTTCTTCTTGAGGAAGTTACACTGGGCACTAGCCATAAAGGTTTGAAAAA